ATATAATTGAAAATTAACGTCTAGAGGATGGAATACTTAACCTTCTTTTTTTGAAGTTCCGTAATCGGATAAAAAGTAGCCTATAAGTTGTCCCGGGTTACTATCTACCTACACACAAACCTTCATGTACATTGGTCCAGTATTTTTTGCGTGAATCCGGAATACACAGACAGACAGACAGACAGACGGACATACAGACAAAAATTCTAAAAACCACTGATTTGGTTTCAGAACGCTTTATTTAGTCCCCTGGACTTGTTTTTTTCAAGAATATATTAGAATTACAGATACAGACACGACTTTTCTACAGATTTATTATATGTATAGACTAAAGACCAGCCACGATTCCGCCTGGGTGAGATCTACTAACATTCGCTTATTGAGAGTTAAGGTAATCATCAAAGACTATTGATGTTATAACTATTTAAACTTCTCGAATAAAAATATCTGGATGTGCGTGGTAGAGGCATGCTGCTATATTATATTTGTAGCCCAAATGGGACGACTCGACTGGGGTAGGACCACGCTCTCACAGAATCCCAGCGTAAAATAGCAGCTTAATAAAACCTCCAACCCTCCCTCAATCGCGCGCACTATACCCATCGCCGTCAATCCCAGCAGTACCATCTCCAGCACCACCACACTAGGCACAACATACCACTCTCGAAAATACGACACGTGTTTCGCCTCTACACGAAGCATCCTCAGGTGAAGTAGACTCTGCGGAGGCTGGCCGCTAAGTGAGCGGCGTGCTGAAACTACTGCTATTTATACTACTTCATAATTAAAGTATGAACCTTAATTCTGGTCTAAATGAAAAACGAAAGTACCTACAACAAAATTTGCTAAAATCTAATAGATTTTACATTTTTTTATAAAGCTGAAGTGACAAAGAAACTTACAGTCCACCTGGAAAGTGGTTACTGCAGTCCATGGAAACCTGTAGTAAACTTTAAACAAAGAAGCCTACAAATCCATTGTCATCCCCTTTTTTATAGGATGGGGTGACAAGCGAGCACACAGTCCACCTGATGGCAAGTGGTTGCTCTGACCCATAGACATCTACATCTATCCTCTATAAAGACTCAAGACGCAGATGCGTTGTCACCCGTGAGGACTAAGATGGAATGCCTCTTTGCCAGTAAAAAGGGTCTCCGGTTCTCTACACTCACCATAAGAAACACAGCAGCGTTATTTTACGCTGGTTTTCTGTGAGAGCGTGGTCCATCCCCGGTCGAGCTGACCCATTCGTGTTGCAACTATACTACTAATATAGCTACAGCATGGCTCTACCACGTAAAAGACAGACAAAGATGGGATGCCTCGCAGTCTGTAATTATAAAGACTCTTCCTGACCTTCAGACCACAGGACAGAACAGGAACACTGCTCATTGAGAGCGGAAATAGGTATGAGAGTGAGAAATAGGAAAGAGAGATAAGTATAAGTCCGTGTGGGTAATTTACCTAGCCGGACTTATAGTTTAAAAGGATTTCCACCGTCTAGTATGAGCCCTTTATTTATTTTAAGTTTTGAGTTTGGTGTCCTTGTCATTTTATAATATTTGTGAATTGTAGATTACAAATCAAGTCATTGAATAAAGAGGAAAGATCATTAAGAAATTATCTAATATAAAATTTAAAAAAGAAACAATAAAAAACATTCATTCTCCCGTATAATTTTAAATTATTTTGCCCCAATTATATACTGGGGCTTGATAATATTAAAAATTCTTAATAGATCTATGAAAAACAACCATGATGGCTAAAGAGATGGGCGCTCATTTTAAATTTAATGTTATGCGAGTGACTCTAGTTCAATCTCTGACGGTGCCATTACTATTTTGATCGCAATACGTAATTATATTCAGTATTGTGTTTTAATATATAACATCGTTATATAACCTTAAGTCTTGTATATAATTTCAATATCCATAAACATATTAAAATTAAAACACTTAATATACTTATTATAATCCAGAAAACCGTTACAGGCCTAGTCAGCCATTAACGATTTCAAAAACCTTCTCGGACAAGGGCCCTCTCTGCGCAAGTTTCGTAACGGGCCAAATTGCCTTCTAATCTTTATGCTGTTTACTACATATATATTTTAACACAACATATATTACAAGTACTATCATACGTAAGGTACTCGCAATTTTCATAACTCTGTGCAGCCAGTACGTGTTGGCAATAATAATGTATAACATCGACAACAACAACATAAGTCTTGGATGTGGCTGTAACATCCATAAATATATTAAAAGTAAAATAATACTGAATGTACTTATAATCCCGAAAACCGTTATAGGCCTAGTCAGCCATTGTCAATTTCAAAAAGGATCTCGGGCAATTGGGGCCTCTTTTTCCAGTTTCATAATGGGCCTTGGTTTCTTATCTTTAAACAACTACACATTTTAGCTACTATGACAGATGTAAATATAGAAATATTTATGCTGTTCACTGGATATAAATTTCAGCACAAATTATATTACAAGTACCTCATCATTCGTAAGGTACTCGTAAGTACCATAACACGGTACATTGCGTTTGGGTGCCAGTGCGTGTGGTTGCCAGTGCGTATTGCCAGTGATGATACATGAACCTGAGACGTGGCCCTTAACTGCGGACTGTATGCGAAAGCTCAAGGGCGTTTATAGACTTTTTAATGATAATATCCACATTAGAACTAGAGCATCCACCAAAACGTGACGGATCAGTTGCAGTGGGTCGGTCTTTTAGCTCGAAGTACTGACAACCAATGAGAAAAAAAGGCGCCACCCTCGTACCTGTAAGCAAAATGTAGGGTGGCCGATGTAGCAGGAACGACCTCGTAAGGGATGCAGGAAGCCGTTGGCTCGGGACTGAGCTGACTTTCCTTGAGGAAGGACTATGTTCAGTGGTGGAATTTTTACATATAACATATTGTAATACATTATTTACTTTGGTTAGCAAGTACTTGTGCTTGAAATATATCGAATTATTAAAATATAAAGTAAAATTTTAATAAGCAAACTTCAAAAGGTTCCCACCCCGTCCATATGTATTTAATATATTATGTTATATATCAGACTAATATGCTTATTAGGTATTAAAATTTATTTAGACCGTATTTATACGTTAATGGCATAAAAGCAAAATGGTTAAACAATTATTTAAAAAGACCGACAACGTAACAAAAACATTTCCTTCCTTTTTTGTGTTTGCAGATGAAAGGCTGTGAAGCATTCCATCGTAGTCCTCAGTGGTGACAATGCAATTGTAGCCTTCTTTGTTTGAAGTTAGTTTGCGGTTTTCTATCGGCTGCAGTAGCCACTTACCATCAGCTGGACTGTCAATTCGTTTTGGTAAACTGATGAAGTGATCTTCAGTTTTATTAAAAAATGTGTCGTCATAAAAAATATCTTTCATTTCATTTGTATTTGTCATTGTAGTAGTGAAAGGAGGTTTCGATTCCCGCACAGATTGGGTGTGAGTATTGTATACAAATAATTATACTGGCACGTATTCGAAATATATAAAGCGTATATTACAATGTATGTGTGCCAGTCAGTGTCAGAATATTGGAAAGTAGGGCGACGAGCTTTTGGATATGCAATAACTACAATTATATTAAAATAAAAAATGGACCAACATTGACACATACGTTACGTTAGCGTAAACATTGCACAATTACAATCGAGGGGCTCGCCTTTGGTTCCTTGATTGTAAGTATGCACTGCAGCTGGATATAAATCTTCTTTTTCTCTATCAGCCTGTAAAAGCCCCTTGATAACTCCCAACAGTTACAATCGAGGCTTACATATTACATCATTTAAAAAAAGTTAAAGGAAAGTCATTCAACTGATCATTTATTTTATAATATCATCTTGTCATAAAAATCCTTTTTACATGCAATTTGAACTAATGTAAAGGAAAATATGAATATTACCAGGCAATCTTCGTATATAATACATCTACCCAAATATTCGCTAGTTTTATGGAGCCTGTACTTTGGAGTGGCAACTTTACATTAATTGCGCGTGTTAAAATTATGAATATCACTCATTTTGTCACAAGTATTAAATAAGTATGTTACTTACAAAAAAGTGTTCAACAAATAAATAATGATAGTTAACTTAAGTTTAAATGGAGTTTATCTTACATTGCGAGGTTTGGAAACGATCTTTGATAAATGAATAGATGAAGCGCATAAGTAACAGTTTTTTTAAAAAGAACTCTGAAGGAGTCCCTTAGTCTAATATTGTAAAACGCAGAGCTCTATTTTCTACCGACTTCAAAAAGGAGACGGTACTTAATTCGACTGTTTTTTTTTATGTGTGTTACCTCATAACTTTTTACTGGGTGAATCGGTTTCAATTATTATTTTTTTATTTAATAGCTGGTGCTTCACATGTGGTCCCATATAAATTTGATCAAGGTCTGACCAATAGTTTTTGAGTTATCCTTAATAATTTATATTGAAGTCTGTTGTACAAAATTTTTAATTTTAAATTATGTAGTAATACACATATTTAATACATTGCTGTACAGAATACGAAGTCTTATTTTGTAAACTGAAGTGATAAGCGAACTAGCAGTTCACCTGATTTTATGCGATTATTGTAGTGCATAGGCACTCTCAATCAAAAGAAAGCATTTCAACCAAAACAAGCATCTTTAGCCTTCTTTTAAATAGAAAAGGTAGGCTAAAGATGCTTGACACTACTTAGGAACAAAGTTGAATGCCTTTCAGTCTGTAATTATTATGGCTCTCTTCACCAGCAGTACACGCATTGCTGCTTGGCAGCAGAAAAGGTACCATCCAGCAGGATTAAGTTTTTGCCGAGGAGTTCTTCTGGGTACCAGGCAAAAATCCAGGCAAAAACTAAATCCTACCGCTCAAAAAATTTTGTGTCTATAAGTTTCCTAACAATGAAAAACAGAAATATTTTCTAATATTTTTTTAATATTAATAAACCTACTTATAATAATTCACTTTCAACGAATGGGGTAAGATCATATTAATGATGATGTTGAACGGGAACAGCGTGCGTAGCATGACCTTGACGATGTACAACAGCGTTGAATCTGAAACAAAAATATAAGCAATAGTAAACATTTTCATTGTGGAACGTGTAAAAACTAAATAGTTTTTAATTAGGTAGAATTTATAGTAAGATAAGCGAGGAAGGAAAAGGGAAGATCTTCTACCGGGCACGGTGATCAGCCCACGGAGCGGCCAACTCTGCGTGTGTTAGTACAAAGCTGTTCTATATATAGCACAGTACTTCGGAACTTTGATAGCGTGATTAAGGTATCAGTGCGTTTTGCTTAACGAACAACAACGAAATAATAGCTAGCTGCGTTTCCTCGTCGAATAGCTAAACGTGGCCCAGGGGTTAGGAAACAATTGCTTAAAATTCTATTTCATGCTAGAACTTGGAAAGTCCTGTATTCTTACAAAAACTGATGGAATTGATATAAAGCAATATTTTATATGAAGATTGACTAACATAGTTAAAATAAATATTTAAAACGTATCTACCATACGGTATATTAATATTATTAACATTATGACTAAACAATTTCTTTAAATATTTTAATACACATTAGATAATAACTTGAAAAACTGATTGTTTACCCATTATGAGCATCGGAGGTATATTCAACAGTTCTGATAGTGCCATCAGACTCGTGCAAGCTGTAGGAACCGTGCACAGCATCACCCTCTCGGCTCTCGCGTTGGGACTTGATGTCACCCGTGTGTGAGTCGGCTACAGAGTACTCAAACGAATAGTGTGGTGGTGCCTGAAAAATGATATTATTATGAATTAATGTTTTATTCTACTGTGAGGCGCAAATTACGTTCCTGATAATTTATTCCCTTACATAGTAGTCCTGGTGATTTTCATTGTGTCCTGCATAATGTGTTGGCTGGTGTTGTAAAACTAAAGCGGGCGCTTTGTAAGCAGTTTGGCCGTGACTCTGATGCAGTACTATGTTCTGAGACGACTGCGCATGTCCATGTCCATGTCCATAGCCATGATTGTATTGTCCGACAGCTATGGAAAGGACAGCAGCGGCGATAAAAATCTGTTGAATAAATTTTTTTTAGAAGTAACGTGTTGTTTGAGACTTATTAATATATTTGATTTTACAATCGTTTTAAAAGAAATTAAACAAAAAAGAACATAAACAAAAGATACGTGATATAAGAAAATACAACTTGATTTTTGTGTAATACAAACGGTATATTAACATTATATATATATATATGTCAGATGTAAATATAATTGGATTTCATCGTTTTTAAATGGTCTTAAGCGCTATAAAGGAAGAAGAAAAAGAAGAAATATAGGTGATGAACTACATAGTCAATGTGATGATTCTAACTGCCTGTCTGGAGATGACTTTTGCACTAAGCTCATGAGAGGTTTAGGTCCCATGGCTTGTAATCAACTGACAAATAACATTTCTTTTTTTGCCTTGAACAATTAATGAAATTAAAATATTTTGTTAAGATATTTTTCTTATACCTTCTTAAACATTTTATCTGTTAATTATTACAATGTTAAATTAATACTGATAATGTATACGAATTATTTAACCTTTTATACACTCGTACGTTGTAATGCAGTATACTCGTAATTATTCAAACATTTCTCGACAACTGAAACAAGTTTATTACACAATGAATTACTTAATTTGTAGCGACATTAAGCTACGCCATACAAAAAACGTTTCTTAATTATTTGACTACACTGACAATTTTTTAAAACATTGTTTAATACGTATTTAGAACATTACGAAACTAAAGTTAATTTTTTTTATAGGATATTGTGACAAACGAGCACACAGGCCACCTTATGGTAAATGGTTGCTGTGAGCCATAAACATCTACATATATACTCAATAAATAATCAAAATTCGTTGTCACCCATGAGCCGGCCACATACATGCGGAATTCCGTTTCGTGATTCCGTTTCGGAATCCCAAATCGTGATTTCGTGAATACATCACACACACACGTTTTTTTCCGTTCGGAATAACAACTAACAAGGGTCAGTTGAGAGACGTTAGCCATTGAGTCTAGACATGCCAGCGAATAATGACGACGATTTTCTAATTGCGATTCCATTGTTGCTGTATCATTCTTACTAGGTGCATCCCCTTATCATCCTAAGCATGCAATATAGTCAATACTATGTAAAAAGATCTATCTATCCAAAAATATTTTTAAATATTTATGTATGTAAATTCTTTCGACGAATTATTAAATAAAATAAGATAAAAGGTTACGAAAAGCTATACACCTACACGATCAAATGTAAAAACATACATAAATACACCTACTCGCTTCGGTCATGCGACGAACACTAAGCTCATTCCGCACGGAATTTACGTATGTGTGTTGCGACTCGTGCAAAATCTATGGAAGACGTGCGTTCGGAGCGAGCGGCTTTTTTCCGTTCGGGATCCCGAACGCACAGGCGGTCATAGGCCCGCCTCTTACATACGGAATTCCGTTTCGTGATTCCGTTTCGTGATTCCGTTTCCGTTTTGAAATTGAAGATTGACATTAAATTATCGGAAATTTGGAAGTATAGTAATAAGGTAAAACTTAAGAGAAGCCATAATTTAAAAAAAGAAGAAGAAGAAGAAGGTAAAACTTGTGTGTTAAATACACACAAGTTTACTACTAGTTTAAAAAACTACTTTAAAAATTATCATGTTATGCGTAATTTTTTAATGCGCCTTAGGTATGCAAAATTGGATTTACCAATAGGTTTTTTTATTCCCGTAGTTTCAAAAACTTTGGGTATAAAGGGTTATTGTAATATTCAGGAATTTATGGATGATAATAACCCCTGGGAATGAAGGAAACGCTACCAACCTATTTCTAATTTGTTTTGTATTGTTAATTGTATAAAATACATGATTGTAATCTGTTATTTTAAAAAAGAGTCCTGCTGGGTTTCTTGCTGATTCTTCCCAGGTCAGAGATTTTTTTCGAACCAGTGGTAACTAAACAAGAAAGAGATTTCAATAAGTATTATTTACAATCTATACAGAATAAAAAAAAATTCAGACGGTTGGTCTCTAATGGGAGCGGCAGCTACCTTAAAGCGATGCCAATTGCCGCCGTCTCTACCTGGAGGTGGTTCGGTCTACGGCTTTATATGGGGCAGCCATGTGAGTCGGGGTTCTGACAGAAAGAACCACCACCTTCCTGCGAAAATCCCAGAGGGCTGTCGGAGTTGTACGAGGGTACTAGACGATCTCTCGTGAGTTGGCATGCGTTTTGGCGGGGTATGATTCCGGAGTTCCTTGTATCTATGTATGATTGCCGCTCGGAATTTCGACACCGAGGGTATCCTCCTTCTCCCAGAGAGTGAAATAGCGGAAGATCCACGCTCGGCAGCTTATGCTTAAAAAGTGGTGGCTTTGTTAAATATCTGTGCCGTATAGTTAGAAGAGAACCGTAAACTGAGGGGGCGTGGAGTACCGACGTTACCATTTTGCGAGCAAATGATGTTACTGAAGGAGGCTGCGGAGAGGGAGAGGGAAAGAACAGCTGATATCCCAATCCACAGCCGGTGAGCTGGACGCCGGAGCATATCAGGCCCTCCTCCACCACCCCCCCCCCCATATTTGAGGTTTAGGTGGTGGATACGGGGTTGTCGGTCGTCTGTTACGTAAAGCCTCGAGGTGGTGCGTTCAGTGTGTTTCCCATGCGCCCCTACACAAAGAAGGAGCGGAGAACTCCATCTCCACTCCATCATCGAGACGGACCATGTAAGGGCTACCTCCGTCGGGACTGCCGTAGTGTGCGGAAGCGTTCCCGTATCATCGACTAAGAACAAAGAGATGAATACCGTGGGGTTTTAGCCAGTAGGAGTCCAGCATAACCTGTCTTTCGCCTTTGCGACAGACAGGTATCCATGAAGATTTAATAGGAGCTATCACACTTCGAGGCTCGAAAACCTTTCTTCCATATCGCTTATCAGTTCTTTGAGTTTTATAGCCGGCCCTTTGCCACTGCTTACTGAGCCATCAAAGTGTGTCAGTTACTCTTGGTCCTGCCATCACACTATTCTAGATCTATTAACGTCCAGTTTTATTTTATCACATTTGTGGTGTCCGGGACAACATTTTCTATACAAATATCCCGACACATAGACTATACTATTTTTTTCTAGTAAATCAAATAGATAATCATTTGTTCCTACTGTTAACACAGTAGCAGTAACATCGTCATGTTGCGGCGATGTTGTATTAAAATACGACAATCGTCTGGTTTCATTAAATAACATATCGAAATCGTATTCACAATTAGTATTTTGAGGTTTCCCTAGATACTGGTTATAAACATCTTACTGAAGGCAATACTAACTAGACGAGATGTTGGTTCCTGGCAGGTACCACCCACCTGTCTGACTTTTCCAAAGAAAATTTCGAGACTATCTTGATTGAGACGTCTTGTAAATATAAATTAATTTAATTTCTTTTGATTTTAATTCTTCATGAACTTTTATTAAAGGTGTCTATTCACACTTGGAATCTGTGTATGAAATTCATGGTATTTGTTACATCTTCATGCCTATCACTTCTAGTTGATTTTAAGTTCCTGAAAAATGTTAGCATTTCTTCTAAAAACTCACATTGATAACTATCGTATCGAAAAGCTCTTTTATATTTTGTTTACAAAATCAGCGGTATCTCGTGCGGCAACCTTGACAAAATTTAAATCTACGTAGGTAATTAGTAAACCATATTTACAATTTTTTTTATTTCATTTGATACGAATTATTCTTTAAAAAAACAAACTTTGACACTTAGTATTTTTTACACAACCCTGAGTTTGAGCCCCGGCCGCTAGTACTCACGCACACACGCGCCTCAAACTTGTATACCTATCACAGCGCGGTTGTATGAAACTTTGCCTCTGTACGGTACAGTTTCTTTATTCATGTCGTTATGTCGCATTTTTGAATATCAAGCACCGCGCGCTGACGAACGACACATCTTAATAAATATATTAATAAATAAAATGTTATATATATAGAAATAGTCCGACTAGGTAAGTCCGAGCTTCGACTGAGAGGTCAATCGACGGATTCAACTCGGCTGGGCTGCGTTCGGGAAACTACGACACATATTCTCGTTAGACATACCTCAAAACCTGTAAACAAATTTGTACAACCAGTGCGTGTTGCCAGTGATGACTTACGGATCTGAGACTTGGTCTTTCACTGCTGGCTGTATGAGGAAGCTCAAGGTCGCTCAGCGAGCTATGGAGAGGGCCGGAAGTCAAACTTTTAATATTAAATGCCTAAAAACATTAATTAACTTGTGTTCTAAAAATGACGACGTTATTCCTGTTGCAATATGTCTACTATTATATGTCTATTGCTTTCCCAGTTAATATAAGTTTATACGAGTATAATGTTTAGTTATTACTTCGTATCATATAGTGTGTTTTGGCATTAGAAATAATAATGAAAATCGGGAATATTTTAAAATTACTTTTATTTTTAAAAACTACTTAAAATAATTTACTCTCGACAACAAATGTTAGATGATTTTAGTGATGATGATGAACGGGGACAGCATGAGTAGCATGACCTTGACGATTTACAACAGCGTTGAATCTGAAAAAAAATCCAAAATAATACATTAATATGTCTTCATGTAGTACCTACCTACATAATCGAATGAAGGAGGCGTTAAATTGTTAAATATATTTGGTAAGGATAAATAATTTCCATTTTTAAATGAATATTGTATCACGGTTGTCGGTTCTTCGATTCGGCCCATTGCCACTTGAGCTTACTAATTCGTTGGTCTATGTCGGTTACTCTGGTTCTATTGCGGATATCCTTGTTTTTAAGTCTATCACGCATAGAAACCCCGAGCATAGACTGTCCATGGGGAGGCCTATGTTCAGCAGTGCACTTGTGAAGGCTGTAATGATGATGATGATGATGATGATTGTATCACGTAAGTATCAACTTAATTCCAATTTGTTACTCAGGCTTTAAGGGAGTGAAATAATTTTACAGCTTCTGTCTTTCCATACGCATTCAACAAAAATCTTCGTCTATATTATCACTTAGGCCCATCGTTCTTAGTGATCGATGCTTAGGCCGTATATAACAAAGGAAAATGTTGACAGGAAACCTGTCTGTCTGAGAAATAACAAAAAATATAATCGAAGACATGTGAAGTTCGCCAACACGCATTGGAACAGCGCGGCGGACACTTCCTTGCCAACAAAAAACCCTCTCAGAAATGAGAGGAAGCCTATGCCCACCAGTGGGACGTATATAGGCTGTAACTTTACTTTTATAGTTAAAAATGGTAATATATTTAACAACTACTGGAATAATAATTGATGGTAGTCATTTAAGAAGACATTTATAAAACCTGTGTAAAAGACATTAAAGCTACGCAATTTTTTCATGAATATTCTATTTTTTTTTATATAGAAGGAATTAATTACGTTTTTCTATAATAGTAATTGCTTACCCGTTATGAGCGTCGGCGG